AGCGTGCTCAGCTCTGAGCAGAGCAGGCCGTGGGGAGACTCTCTTCAACCACCTAAAGAGAGGGTGCCAGGAACACAACTCTCCTTGGAGGTGCACAGCGGAAGGACTGGAGGCAAGGGACAGAAGCTGGAACGTGACCAGTCCCCATGAGGCATTAGAAAAAGGGCGAGGGTTTGGGTTTGGGTTTGTTTGTTTGTTTTAACCCACAGAGGTGGTCAAATACTGGGTCGGGTTGCCCAGATGACCTCCAGACTGGCTCTCAACGCCAATTATCCTGATTCTAACACCGAGCCCGCAAGCACAGCGGAGCGCAGAGCAGAGACCTCGGCAGAGCCCTACTGTGAACCGTTCCGTGCCGCTAGCACAGCAGAGCACCACGTTAACATGCCCACGAATGACCCAAAAGAACATTAATCTCACTAAATACAGAGGCACATCAAAACGACGCAGCCAGCTTCTCGGCGATCCTCAAATGGCTGTTCATTTGGACTAGAATGCTGGGATAATTATGATCATAATCAATACAAGATTCACTCAGCTGGATGCAAAAAGGGCTTACATAGCACTTCCTTTGTTAATTTGCTGATGCGAGACACAAGATTTATTTGTCTGTGCCTTGGTTCTCTCTGTTAATGCAAGACAGGAACACTGAAATTACCTGTATCGCGGGGGGGAGCGTGTGTGCGCGCGGACGTCTTATTTTAAAATCCACAGAAAGTGCTTCATAGGTAGAAATTCACAGAAAATAGCATTCAAACAACAAGCAGTCGATCCTGTTAAAGACCTGCAGGAATTTGCCTCATGAAGCTAAGACCAACATACGTAATTCTTTGCATCTTCTGGCTGCAGTTGTCATTGATGGAAGTACGTTCTCCCTCTCTGACTACTCTATGGGACTCATATAGATTTTCACCCGAATTCCAGCATGAAAGATTCACAGGAACTAAGCAGAGCATGCTGGATTGATCTACGGTGGCCAGAACAGCTTTCTAGGCGATTCATTTCTGAACTGGGAAAATGGAATTTTCGCTGTGGTCCTCGCAACGTGGCAAACGGAACGGCACAAAGGCGGAGCAAGAGGCACAGGAAAGCCAGTGTGCAGCGGGCTGGATGACCAGTCCTGATTTAAGAGGCTTGTACCTTATCAACGCAGAAGTAAACCCACGCTGACGAGCAACAGAAACGCTTCAGCTCTACTACGAGCTTGCAGACTGACTGGTAACGTTCTCACTCATCACAGAAAAATAACCACTTCAAAACGTCCGTGCTCCTGTTCTAAAGAATTACCATTCTGGCAATATTAGTTTCAAGTCTTCTGGGCTCCATCCTCGTGTTAAATACGTGACATCCCTCCATTTATTCTCTCTCTATAACCTATTTTCTCCCCTGCTGGCAGTACAGAGCAAGCATTAACCTTTGCTCTCCACGGGTTTCACCAGCCAACCGTCAGGTTGAGGGAATCCCTTTCCTCCCCAGCTCAAAGCAAGACCTTTAAGGAAATGCTGTAACCGCCAGAGGACCCTGTCCCTCCCTGCTTGGCCTCATCCAGACAGTGGCCATCTCCACCTTTTCCAGGGGCAGCACTACAGGCACTTGATCTCCATTCATCCAGACATCGGAAAGGAATTGTTTGGGTGGTCAGTGGTGGAAACTGCTGTAGACAACTGCAGTCAACCCTTCTTAGAGCAGCTCTACCAGAATTTCTAACAAGTCAAGTGGAAAAGAAGGAACATTATGGTCTTGAACCAAAACTGATGGAGTAGTTCATTTTTGTTGGTTTTGCTTTCTTTTGGCCACAAAGGAAAAAAGAAAAAAAAACAACCCACAACAGAAAATAAATTCAGGCCAAAGAGGAGGAAAAAAAAAAAAACCAAGCAAAAAATGTTATGATCAACTATGAAATGAAATATTACATTTAAATTTTGTATTGTTAAACACCTTTTTTTAAAAGAAAACTTGGGGGAGGGGGAATTATATCCATTGATTTCAAATGAAAATTCCTGAAATGAAAAGTCTAGAATTTTGCTCTCAACACTTGCAAAAGAAAGTTAACCAGCGGGCCCTAAATCATGCTAGACCAGTGTTTAAACAGCTGGAATACTCACATGAAGGCTCATTAAGCCTATAAACAAACTCCACGAGTCACAAATAAAACTGTTTTCTGAAACAAGCACCAATTCTTGTTCTTCTGCAGCAGCAAGCCTGGAGTCGTACGTAGATCTACTGAAACAGGCACATTCAGGGCTTGTGATACACGCCTTGTGTCCGGAGACAGGAAAGACAAAGCTAAACCACAGGCTTAAGGTGCAAACGAGAGTTGTTCATGTTAGAGTGAACAGCGTGTCAGACACGAAATCCTCGGTCCCGACTTACAGCTTTAAAGCTGATTTGACTTGTCAGGAGGACCAGCATTGAAATGTCTTGGTGCATTTGGACTTCTCATTAGCAGAACGTTCGTTATTATTTGATGCTCACTTGGCCACTATACTCACTAAATTAATGTACCAGAAGCACCACCAGAAGGTAGCACCTACCACATCTAGTCTCATCTGAGATTCATTTCAGACCACTGATGTCTCTGGGTAGCACTTCCTGGGGCCCGTGACTTTGATGCAGTGAGTTATTAACCCCTGCGTGGCCTCACCAGCCCCGCCAGCTTCACCACCAGCCTCACCAGCACTGCCAGCTTCAGCACCAGCCTCACCAGCCCTGCCAGCTTCAGCGCCAGCACTCAGGAGAGGACTGCTTTTGCCTCCAAGGCCGCTGTTCCACAAGCACCTCAAGGCAGTGTAAAACTCCTCGGCTACAGGCTGGGGGGTTCCCCGTGCCACCAGGCCATTCCTCCCTTCGCCTGGGTGCAGGCACCCTGAGGAGCTACAGAGCGAGCTGCTCTGGGTTCAAAGGAATCCAAGCCTGAGGAGGAGGATGAGGAGGAGGCTTCGTTTTCATGAGTTTCCCATTCCGGACCATTATTTGGCAGCACCAACGCTCCCGCCGGCACAGGGGAGAGGGGGCAGATAGGATTGTCTTTTCTTTTTTTGGCTACGGTGCCCGATGACGGGAGGCAGCCGAGGATAAGGATTCCCTTGGACACAAGCCTTCTGCCGTGGGTGGATGACTGATGGCTGGGTTAAATTCTCTAGTTTTGTCGAATCAGTCAAGTTTTTGTAGGCAATGAATCCAAACTGGACACACAAAAGGACATGAGCACAAGGAGAGGGGTGGAGAGAGACAGGAACAGAAGAGTTAAAATAAACCCAAACCCTTCTGCGCCCTTTTTTTGTGGAGGTAAATGGACTTTGTGAATGAACCAATGGAACTGTGTCACTTGTGATTAAATAACTGCCTGTCTCCCTGCAACGCAGTGCTGTCACCAGCTCCTGTTCAGGTGTATTCCGTAAAAGTATTCACCAAGTATCTACTCTAGAAAACAAATAATCCAAACTACAACCCAAAACGCGAATGCCATTTAAAACGGGAAAAACGTAGCAGGTTCTGCTGAGCTGCCAACAGCAGGTATTAAGGAAAAAAGCAAATCTAAACTATGCTAACTTTAGTCAACTACTTCATCCCTCCTTCTCGTTTTATGTTTTATTTTTACTAGTCCAAGGAACAGCCAGTAGCTGCCCTCCACCCCTGCACAGCCTCAGGGATGCAGCAGGCTGTTTACCACCTCCACGTTTTCAGTTGTAAATGCCGACCTGATCAACACCATAATGCCATTTACTGGGAGTTCACACAATAGCATCAGCTTCAGTAAAACACCTAAAAAATTAGCAACTCAATTTAAAGGGAGGAACAACTCCCCGTTAAACCCTATTCAGACCTGCAACTTCTCTCCAGGCCAAAACATACATACATCTACTCGGGGGCAGGCTTCCTCTTTGTGATGTTAACAGCCCAACTGAAAAGGACTGGATGCTTAAAAACGGCGATGGAATTTCAGTGTTGGGGAGGGGGGGCTGGGGCTGATCTGGTGGTATTTGAAACATCTTCAATTTACAGTCCCGCTGCTGTAAAGAAACAGGGGAGTGCTGCCTGCCGCACTGGAAATCCTGGGCCAAACGGGTGGGGCGAAAGCTTTCTCCCCAGAAGTGGGCTGCAGCATCTGAAGCAACACCACCACGGGGTGCTCTGCAGGGCACGGCGTTCGTCACAGGTTCTGTTCCGACACTGTCTCCAATGGCTATCTCAAAGTGCCCCAAGACCTGTCACGCTCCCCCGTATCCAGTCTCCTTCACCTCGAAGCAGAAGGCACCACGTTAATCCTTTAAATGACTGGCGGCACCCACCTGATTAGATTCAGCAGAAGATGTTTCTAATCCTCTAGATTAGAAAGCAGCAGTCTAACATTAAACCTACCTTGATTTCTACGTATTTACGTATCTATGTGAGGACAGTACTGCAGAAAGCAGAATTGCAGCGTTTGTAGTACACACTCATAAAAGCTTTTTTTCCTGGTATTCTTTGTGGCAATGTTCTTCTAAAGTAGCAAGGGAAGCTGCTTTAGGAGCTTACTTTTATGCTGGGCTCCCACTGTCTGTATTTCTTCACCAATACTGTCCTGCAATTAATTCCCATCACCAAATTAACAATGACATCTGGGGAAGGTGCTGAATCAAACACAGAAGAGCAAAAGCACTGCTCCAGAACTGCAAGCTCTGTATCATGAAGCAGAGCAAAGTAAGTTTATTTTTACACCAGGCAGGCCATCAAGAATCACAAACTAATCCTCAGTGACCAGTACTTACACCTGCTGAAGTGGGAAAAGAAATCTTGGTAACATCCACCAGAGCCATGTGCTCAAAAACATGAGACAGTTTCTGCCCTTAGGTAGAAATGAAAAATGAAGACACAATATCACACAATAAGGAGGATTTTTTTTTACAAAAGTACAATTATGTCCAGCTATGAAAGTTTCTGAGAACCACGAAATGATGTTTTGATTCGAAATACTCAAAATTGGCTTTTAACGCATGCATGTACAAACCAAAGCATACCTTGTAGAGGCCAAAGAAGCCCAAGTCCCGTAATACAGTGAGGGCACTAACTCGTGGACCAGTAGTAATTTCTCCAGCCACCTGTAATCGAATCTTGACAATCTCCAGCGGATTGGTAAAGATCACTTGAGAACCTCCGGCCTGAAATCAAAAGCAGAAGGCAGCACATTAACCTGATGCATTATTTGCAGCGGACCAAGAGAAGACACTTTTAACCCTGCGGCAGTCGGTGAAGCTGTTAGCAGAGAAAGAGGTTTAGTATTAGGTAATAAACTGCGGCCCACAAGGTAAGAAACCCCGAGCCGAGCAGCGAGGGAAAGGGAGGGGAAGCGGGTCAGCCACCGCAGGACACGGCGGGGCACCGG